CAGACAGAACTGATTGGGACAATCAAAAGTTTCAATCAGATAGAGGACATCTTGGACCGGCTCTACAGTCTACACCCCTCTATTTATCTAACCCTTTCTCAATTTGATAATAGCATTTGAAATTTGAAATCTTAAATTTCTTAGGAGTTGTTCTTTAATGTTAGTTGTTTCTATTGTTGCAAGTTCAAAAAAAGCAAAACAAAACCAGCTGTGGTTTGAAAATAGGCTGTTTCTTAAAACAAAAAACATGGAAAATATGAATCAATGAAATTTATGATGCATCTACTTATCACAATTGGTTGAATATGATGGTAAGTATACCTTATTAAACATGAATCAGTGAAAAGTAACATGATTGATTGAAACTTGAATTTAATGTGCAACCGGTATTAGTAGATGCACCATAGTTGAACTCTTTTTTCTTTAATATAACCAACTAGTTTTTGCTTCTCAAAACAAAAGCACATATCAAAAACATGTTTTTTGTTTTCTACTGATTTGTCAATTTTAAAAGCCAATGAAAACAAAACCATTCATATTACAGAACACCCCCTTTAATCTATATAAACCCTAAAAAATGGATCTTGTTCCCTAGGTTCAACATGAGACCCCAGATCCCTTTATAAATGGCCTCATGGTGACCATTATAGAGACACGGCCACACAAGCTTCTTATCTAAACCACTTATGCTACTTGAGCCATGGACATAACTGATCTGGACGAAATTCAGAGCATCCATCAGATAGTGAACATGCTGCTGGGCCAGGTACATCTTTAGAGCCCGTCCACACTAGCTCTATACCCCACCATTCATCTGACCCTTTCTCAATTTGATAATAGCAATTCAAACCCTAAAAAGAGGATTTGGTTTGCCCAAGTTTCAGGGACAAGTGGACTAATTAAGGCTGCATTTAGCATTCCTTATTTTAAGGATTTATCTTCTTTTTGTAGTTACAAACTCAATTTTTATAAGGGCATTTTAACTGCAGAAAGTAAATAAATACTTATAAATAAAGAATGCTAAATGCAGCCTAATAGAGCACACGACAGGCTTGGCCCCATGGTTCATCCTATGTTTCTTTATGAATCTCTGATATATTGCTGAAACCAAACTGCATCATATGTCATGACTGCACTCTTCACCATGGACTGAATCATAACTTCTACCCAAAACAAAAGAAATGCATCAGCGGCTCTCATGGCCAGTACGATACCATATTTGTACCTCTCATTGCTAGCTCACCATGGCCAGGACACTCATTTCTTTAACACATGAATCTCCCTACATGCATGTATGCGCATGTCTATACGATACATAACAGCATGAATGAATAGCAGGTATGTCTGAGAAAAGGAAGGGACGATCACAGCTCTACCAAGCATGATTCAGAGTATCTATATGATCAAGTGTATAATCATTCCAATAGCTTTTTTTTTTTTCTTTTTCTTACTTTTTGGTCTCATAATCTGTAAATATGTAAGAGAATTACAAGCATTTAAAACCATTAAATAGGTCTAAATCTAAATATTTTATCATGTATCAAGTGATATGTTTAGATATATAGTTTCAACCTATATACCCTTAAGTTAAAGGGGCAGCCATCTTAAATTTTATTAATCAACCATTGTCCAAAGGGAGGAATATAATTAACACAGTAGAGGATATAGCCCGCCTTGCCTTAGAACCCAAATCATGGTTTTCAAAGTCGGATTGGATTGGACAGTCAGATTGAAAAAATTGGGAATCAGTCAGATGATTGGTTTTGGTTTTTTTTAAAATTGGATTTTCTTCAAAAATCGTTGATTTTGGTCAACAAACCACTGACCTAAGCAGTTAATGTTCGAACGATTTTGACTATTTTTTATTTTTTTTTTGTCAGAATGGGCCAATTGCTCGGTTCGAATGGTCAGATCATTTGACCCGATAACCAGACCCCCTGACCGGTTCGGTCTTTGGGTCAGTTTTAAAAACCATGACCCAAACAAGAGCAAAAGGACACTACCAAGTACCTAAAACCCGAAGTCTGATAGTTTATTAATAAGCATCTGTATAAGAAAAAGTTTTTTTTTTCTGATCAATTCCTCTATTGCCCAAGAAATCAATACATCTATTTCCCTCTCTAAAAAAGGAGTCTAAATTTATTCCTATTCACACCAACTTTACGAATAAATCCCATACTTATATGTAAATTATTCAAGGGGAGATGTTCCCATTATACAGTAGAATGTATCGTGAGGTCGGTGTGAGATACGCTTTGTGAGGAACAAATCCCAATTGTAAAAGAAAAAAGCTTTGGTTATGTGCTGCGACTTGTTGGTGGGCTGCTCGTGAAAGAGCTAGCGGGATGAGCGCCGTGACTCGGACCGGGCCGGCATGAGAGTTGAGACCAGGCGAGGTGACAGCAGACAAGTGATGATAGCCCATGTTATATGTTGCCTCCTGCTGGGCCCCTTGCCCACGCGTTTTGCTCCGGGTCCCACCCCCCTCTTTTTGACAAAATCTTCACTCTTCAACTCTCCTTTTTTTTATTGTCATGGGGTTAGCTGTAAACCAGAACAAATTACACTTTCGAGCTGATTAAAATCACATTAAGACAGACTATTGATTGGCTGAAATTGAGTGGCTCTCAACGCGCTTACATGATTCTTTTTTCTATTGTTTCTTTTGAATTCTATGCTGTTTTTCTTCATCTAATCACATGGCAGTGTGTTTAGAATGTTACACAAATGAGTTTTTATGCCTATAATTACAAAAATTGGTTCAAACCATCCGGTCCAACTAAAAATATATAGGAGCGAAACCATTATGGGCCGGGTTAATTGAGAACCTTATAAGACTAGATTGAATTGCGGTGTGCAAGAAGAACCAATCAAAGTCTTTGGGGCCTTCTCATAACAGCTGAAGTAGGAACTAAATGGCTTATTTTTGTTTTCTTTTTAGCTAATAAGTCAAGTCATTAAGTGCCCTTTTGGAAGGGCTAAAGCTGAAGCAAGCACAGCGGGGTTATGGCCGTTCAAGGTGGGCCCCACAAGACCAGCATGGTGAGAAATCAAAAGACCCCAAATCAACTGTCAGTCGGTCAGTCGAGCCTCTTTGAGTACAGTTGATGTGGAGTGCTCCAAAATAGTTGAAATCTTCAGCTCAATCCTTCCAAACAGGCCGCCCTAAGAAAAGGTTATGGATTCCTTAAATATTTTATTCACTAAAAGACAAAGTAATAATTAATCCAATTCAGCGACTGCTATCAAATGGCCCCTTAGGCTGAAAGGCCTGTGTCCGGTCCACCCCTCTCAAGAGTCAAGACCGACCCTAGATGGTTGGGGTCATCTTTGGCCAAAAGGACCATTAATTACCCCATGATGATGCTAGGTTATGGCTTGTCTTTAACTTCTAATAATCGATCAAAACCACTTGCTAAAGAAAAGGAAAAGAGGTTGACTATATACGATGGAAAAACAATATTAATGCATTTGATTAGGACCATTCATTCTGTGGGTTCTGTTTAACAAGGACAAGGCAATGAAGGGTTGGTTCCATTTGGGATAATGGAGGCCAAATGGTGCCCCGTGAGAACTAGTCGTTATTGAGTGAACATGAAGAAAGGAACTAACGGCATAAAGACTCTTCTTTTAGAGTCTAATAACAAAACATTAATATCAGCACATCTTTGTTGACTTCATTTCTTGAATTATCAACCCAATCTTTTGTTCTTTTACTACCTTTTCTTTCTCCAAGGGCCAAAGAATCTTGGATTCATTGGGGATTCAAGACGAATATTAGTAAAACTCTTCCTCCTACCATACAACCCTACTCCAACACTTTCAAACCAACGATGTCAATGCCTTGGCCCAATTAGTTCCCCCAGGCCCCAAGGATACTTCTCAGTTTCTCAATTCTCACCACCTGTGAGGGCATCTAGGGATTTTGGGTCATGGGCTTTCTATAGCCACGTGGCATGCTTATTAGGCCTAGGAGACCTCTTACATGGGGGACCCACTTATTGATGGGCATTACTATTATGAACCATAAACATGAAACATATGCTCACCCCACCTAGGGCCCAACTAATTAGGGGCCTAGGACGGAAGTGAAGCTTGGGAAGATCTCTTATCTCTAGCTGGCCAAGTGAGTGAACGCTGAGCAAGTAGGCCTGGTGTGATGGGGCATGGGCTTCCAAAGTATCAGACACTACTGTTTCACCTTTAAAAACGGCATATGCGTAGGTTTCTTTGTTTGAAATCTGTGATGTGAACCATCCAGCCAACATCACAATCCAGCCATCAATGTCCACAAGCTTCTATTAGATTTATCATCAGCAATCCTGAATCCTATACAATGTAAGGTAACAGAAATTCCACTTGCAAAGAGTAAAGACTAAACAAGGAAAGAAGATCCATTGTACCTAGGCCATCATTCTTCATCAAACTCCAACATTTTAATGTGTATTTTATTCAAAATTTCAATCTTTTTAGGCTTTTTAAATGCAGAGCTCCATAACAGTAAGTAACAACTGTCTAACAAATTGCGGAAGTGAGCATATACAATGAACCCTAATTAGAGTTGATCAATTAATTTCCTGAGGCCACTTGATGCGACCCATTTTTTCTCATCAAACAAACTTATAAGGAATGGAATCCAATCCATAGTTGCTTAACTATGAACCCATCTAACATTCTGGAGGCCCTGGACCTGGTTCGGCCTGGCCATGGTGAGCCCACTTCTCAGTGGATCCATGTCCTCCATGGAACTGTGGAAGCTAGGTGTCTATAATATACCCCTATAGAACCCATATGACCATAGAGAGTATAAACTAAAATTCAGATTCGTGTTTACCCAGAAAGTATTGTTTGTAATATTGGAATAAATAAAACACAAGGGAATTAATTTGATTATAAATTCTCTCTTCTTCCATTTAATATCAGTTGATAAGAGCCAACTGGGGATGAAAGAAAAGAAGGAAAAACAAAACAGTTGTGGGCCCATTGTCCCCTACAATTTGGTTGCCAGGCAAAAAAGATCCCTCCAGTGTATCAACCATCAGCCATGAGCAGCAACTACATAAACCCCCTCACCCTCCTCACTCCAAACCCCTCTTCTCATGCATTGTTTTATGCATTTCTCTCTGTAATTCTATCTCTCAGGCATTTCCACAAACAGTAAACCATTTGAAACGTTTCTCTCACACGACAATGGCCAGACCACAACAGCGATATCGAGGCGTCCGTCAGAGGCATTGGGGATCTTGGGTCTCCGAAATTCGACACCCTTTATTGTAAGTTGGTTTATCACTCATGTTCCTACTGATATTTAATAGATGTTTCAACGTGTTTGGACTTAACTGAAGAAACGTTTCATTTGTCTCACACAGGAAGACTAGAATTTGGCTGGGCACATTCGAAACGGCAGAGGACGCAGCCCGAGCCTATGATGAAGCGGCGAGACTCATGTGCGGGCCTAGAGCAAGGACAAACTTTCCTTACAATCCTAATGCGCCTCAATCCTCTGCGTCCAAGCTTCTCTCTGCAACTTTGACAGAAAAACTACATCGTTGCCATTTGGCTTCTCTTCAAATGACAAATTCCATGATGAAGGAACCCCATAAAACTCCCTCGCCGGTGGTCTTGTCCAATAACAGCATTACCGAAGACTCAAAGGAAATGGGTATGTGGTCGTCATCGAAGAGACCAGCTGTGCAACATCCCGAGACTAATTGGGTCGTGAAGAAAGTCCAAATGGAGAGCAGCCAGCAATTCAAACCTCTCGAAGATGATCATATAGAGCAGATGATAGAGGAGTTGCTCGATTATGGGTCTGTTGAGCTTTGCTCTGTTCTTCCATCTTAGGCTGTTGAAACTAGTTGGGTAGTGAAGAAATTCCAATTCGAGAATAGCCAACAATTCAAGCCACTCTACGATGATCAAATAGAGTCTGATAAAGGAGTGGCTTGATTATGGGTCTGTTGGTTTTAGCTCTGTTCTTATATCTTAGCCTCTCTTTTGTAGCTATAAGCATCTCAGTATCTCTCTATCCCTCATTTCAGCTAATGTAACACACGTATTCCTATTTAACCTTTCAGAGTCTCTCTTTAAGTGTTCTTAGATCGTCTATAGGCTTTAGTTTTTAAGTTCCAAGTGACTAATCTGATGGTGATGACACCATTATTATTAGATGTACAGTAAGGAAATTTCAAGGCAATTCTACTATAGTAGTATAAATATTCTGGCCTCTACTGTTCATGAACAAAAGTAACCAAAGTTAAAGTTGCAAATCTAAAGCTAAAGGGAATTTAGAATGTTCAGTTCTTTTCCTAGCTTTTAAATTGGCCCTTTCTGTGTATTTTTGGCTTGCAAAGCTCAAAAAGTCATCTGGGTTCACTGAGGCTGATAAGTGGAGCCATCTATTTAATGATTTTGAGGCCTTGACATTTCGTAGTGGTGGGCTCTCTCTCTCTCTCTCTCTCTGAGCTCTGGTGTGATTGCCAATGCGTTCACATTTGGCGCAAATGTGAATAGTATGAACATATTTGGAGATGATGAAGCTCTCTCTCTCTCTCTCTCTCTCTCTCTCTCTGCAATTTGCACTTGCTCATGAACTGAAACTCTGAAGGTCTGAAACAGTTCTGACTGAGCTTCTAGCAGGTTTAGTCCTTTGAATTGACCCTTAAAAGGAGTGTTAGTGTTACTTTTGACCCATAAAATGGCTCTGTGAAGTACAAACCTCTACAGTGACTCTGGATTGTCTGAATTGATAACTCGTAAAGCACTAAATTTAGTGGTCTCTCAATTACAGACACCATGGATGCCTTACCACACCACATATATTGGATTGCTCACGTCAACACGGTTTAATTACCTGTGATTGCGGGGATACTCTTTGGAAACCAGCTACAGCTACACCCAGATAAGAATTCAGAGGTCTACCAAAAATGTTTACTTGTTAAAAAAAACCTGGACATAGACATACCAACTTTGGTGGGCCATCTCTTTGAATCTGATTGAGCTGAAAAATCTAGCATCAATCACAACTGTCCAATTCGAAAACTGGTATTCTTAAGGCTCTGTTTGGTTTGATGGGAAATAAGAGAAACAGAGTTTGAGGAAAGGCTCTTAAGAAACTTTGTGAAATTGCTTATCAACCTTCTGTTTCACTCTCTTTTTCTATCAAAAACTAAACAAAGCATACTAGTTATTACAACACTAGTCTGCAAAATACAGATTTAAGTTCGTGGGTTTTCATGGTTAAGCAATAAGCACTTTTGTTGATTTAGATTACAGAGAAAGGGTAAATGCCCTTTTTCCCTATGTGTAATTATCATTTTTTATGTTAAACTTTATACCATTTTCTTTCCAAATATAAATGTTTTTGAGTGGTTGAACTTTCTGCTAGCTTTTCTTCATTAGACCAAATCTTGGGTTAGAAAGCTTATTATCTTTTGGGGGTCTCCTTTCACATTGGAGTCCCATCCCTCTCACTCTGCCTTAATGATTGTTGAGCCATTTGGAAATTGATTTTGTCCCCCACAACCATCCAAGAAATAAAGTTGTTAGTCTCATTATTTTCGTGTACTGTTAGTTCAGCAAAGATGATTAAAGGTATCACATGTTAGTGATGAATTTTGTTACTTTTTGTCTGTGCTAGGGTTTCACCTTACCTTACCAATTACCCAGCATCAATGAATATATCTTGTAAGATCATCATGAAAAGGAACAGAGGGGACAGAGACTCAGAGAAGCTCTTTTTACCATAAGCTTGCATGAATTACCAAAAGATCAATCAACATTTACAAATAGATTTCAACAAATTTCTCTTTCAAGCAAAGAATCTTTTGAGTGTAAGAAAATCAATACATCATTCAATATAGAAGTTCCTTATATCAGAGAAAATTGATCTCAGCTTTGGAATGGATGGGAGCTTAGAAGTCTAAAGACTATTTTTAACTTGGCCATGCAAAAACTGAGCCTTTTCATCAACAGTCTCAACAAATGGCCCTAAGCATCCAAGTGGAGCTCACTGATAATATGGAATCATGAGCCCATGCCAGCAGTTAAAAAAACCACTACCATCAAAGCAAATAATGTGGCATGGCCCAGTGAAGAAGTGGGAGACCAGTAACTGAGCAATCTATCTATACACTGAGCCCAAGATCACCCTGCAAAATTATTCCCTTGAATCAAAGCCCAAAGATTAAAAACGAGATAAAAAAGTCTAAGATGAGATCTTCCTTAAAAAAAGTAGTCAAAACCAATCATGGTGCATAGAATCTCATGTAGAAATGCAATTGGAAACAATCATTTGGGCCTAAGCAGAGCATAACCCCCAAATTGTATTCCAATTCTCTGTGATTGGTCCATATCATTGGCTTTAGATACAAAGAATCATTCCTTGAGTCATGCAAGATCCAAAGCTTTGTGGACAATGGTTGGTGGCCTACTCAAAGAAAAGCCAAAACACTTTCTTCAATTAATGATCTTTGAATCACAGAGTGATTTTATGTCTATATGTTATAGAGTCGAGTCCATAGACAAGACGGAAAACCAAATTATCTACTAAAGACTATGCATGTTATGTGTCAACCTTCTTATCTGCCTTCCCCCCATCCCTTCACATGGGCATGCACTAATACAAATCTTCAACCCATGTGCATGCATGCACATGGTTCTAACCACCCCATCTCATCTTTCTTAATTAGGTTAAGAGCCAAACCTCCCCCCCTCCTCTCTCTCTCTCTCTCTCTCTGTGTGGCCATATGAATGGTGTAGTGGACATGGAGTTTTGAGGGCCCACATGTTAAATGTTGATATATTCAAAGAACAAAATCAAATAAATTGGATGAACCCAAGACACATGATGTGATGGAGTTCAATAATGTTTCTTCAACATGCATCAATTGGTTATTATTATGTGATCAAGACCTTTTCTTCCCAAGGCTGTCCCTTTGGGGGCATTCATCAAATGGCAGGTCGGCCCTTTTGACTGTGTTCCCCCTTAAGTCCCTGTCCCCAAAAGAGAATATAATCCTCTTTTTTCTTTTAACTATTTGATTAAGTGTAAAGGACATTCAACACATCATGTTATCACATGTAGTAATGCATGGCAAGAAAACCATCATTTTGATGGTTTGTGTATCATAGAGAGAACAGATCATTGTCACGGTCTATTAGAAGAGTCAAGAAGCTTAGAATCTCTAGAAAAAAAAAATAATAACAAGAGAAGATTAGAACATTTAAAAAACAAAAAAATCATGATATTTAAATGCCTTCTCATATTTTTTATTTTTACCATTTTCTCTTTAATTGCTCAAGTACACAGTATGTGCCCTTACACGAGTTAGGATGTTCTACCAACAAAAGACGTTCCAACCACTTACCAATGTGATCTAACACACGCATCTCAACATAAGACTGGTATCCACTATAAATGTGGGACCTGCCATATATGAGATGTGCAGTGACAGGTTTTGTTGGTAGGTTGTTAGAATGAATTCTGTTGGCACCTGAATCGGACTCGGGAGGATTTTCCTAAATCATGGGGTGGGGGGATGGGCTGTTGAGAGCCCGTCCCGTCTCCACTTAAGCTACCATCACATATCCAAATTCAATACTCATGAGTGGTGTTATGTTAGGGCTGGTGGATTCTCTTATGAACCCTGGTCCTCTTTTTAATCCTAAAAATCAGGATCATCGTTTATATGGGGTTGGTTATCACAGAATTTTTTTTTTTTTTTTCTGTTCAATGCCCTAGAAATCATATATACATATATATATATATTATTATTAAACTTGAGGTAAGAGGATGGTTGATGAATTGGACGAATAGAGGGCAAGATGGCGACCCTAGTACGATTCATAATTGTGACCGACCTTCGATAGAAAGGAACAGCAACTCTTTCCCTAAAATTCCATGCCCCACAAATCCAGAAAAAGAAACCTAACTGGTTCATGTCATCTTGACGTCTATTTATATTAAAGTTTGAGATTTGAATAAGAAAGAAACAGAGATTTCAGGGAGGTGAGGTGGGGTTGAAAGTTGCTTGCTCCTAAGTATATATCCTTTAGTTATAACCAAGTATGTTGAGGGGCCGTTTGTTCAGAAATCAGCTGTTTCTTGAAATCTTACATTAGGAATATCTTCCCGTAAATAAAGACATACAAGTAGAGAGAGATTTTTAATGTTGTGTAACAGGTGTAAACACTATCTTATAAGCACTGAAGCCGATCTCGGTGATTGAATGTGTATAAGAAATCACTTTGTCTTTTAGTGAAAAAGTTGTTAAGTTTGATGTTGAATATTATTCTGCAAATGATAAAGCAATGAGCCATTCAGTTCAGTCAGTCACTCCAGTTATTAGTCTATAGTAATCATACAATCATGGTCCACCGTCCACCATCAATTGTGACCGAGTAAATTGACTACTCAACCTCATCAGCTGTGCAAATCGGCTGAGTTAGGTCAGGTTGAGTTCAACCCTAACCTAAAACCTGAACTTTTCAGATTGGGTTGGGTTGAAGTTGGCAAGGCAGTTTATTTATTTTATTTTTCTGAAACACTCAGATCAGTGGTTTTGGCTTTATTGCACATGTATGGCTCATATATAATGGGCCAAAGTTAAAATGATTTTCGATGGTGTCTAGCGGCTCAATTGGTTATGTCTCTAACCGGTTGTAGTGGAGATTTGGGGTCAAAATCCTGCCATCACCAGGGTTGGGAGGGTATGGATGGATACCATTTATTCAAAAGCTTAAGGGGGTGTTTAACAACGTGCATGGTTTTATTTTTAAAAACAAAAGCAACTGATACATCAGCAATTTGCTAATATGACAGTTGTTTTTATGAGTCTGGATCTAGTGTGCCTCACTCTGACCTCACTGCATGTCTTGGCCACACATCAGAAACATTTTTCATACTTGTATTTATTATTCATGGGTAGATATTCCTAATATAAGGTGGGATGTGGCTGTCAGGTTGGTGTGAGGAGCAGATCACAATTATGTTTTTATTTTCTAAAATAAAACCAACTATGTTGTCAAATACCCCCTAATGCTGTGTTTGGCAACAATTTAAATGGAGTGTAAATCCTAATTCAGGGTAAATTTGCACTCTGGTTCACTTTTGTCTATGTTTGGCAACATTACATTTATGCATTGACAAATGACAAACCAATGCATATTTACATTGATAATAAGATGTAAAAGTACATCAATAAAAAAGAAGTAAATTTGCATTCAAGTGGGCTTTTGATAAAAAAAAAAACAAAAAGGTAAATTTGCATTCAAGTGGGCTTTATTGGAATTCATGTTTGCATCTATTATAGCTAAGTCTGTTTGGTAAGAAGGTAAATTTGTCCATGCAAAACTAACTCAATTTTACAATTTATATGAACCGTTTTACACTCTACATATTTGCATTCACACTTATTTGTATTGTTTCCAAACACAGCATAAATGTTTGGAGTGTCCCTCATCATTATGGGGGTGTTTTACAACATGGATGTTTTTGTTTTGTTTTTAAAATTTTTAAAGCAATCAAAAAAGCATGTTGATTTTGTTCAAAAAAAAAACAAATCATATTTTTTAAACCATCAAAATGATGGCTTTTAAAACAAATACAAATTTTATGGTACAGATATTGGAAGGTGATATTAAATAACCTAACAAAATCATGCTCTTGATTTAAATCAGAAATTCAAAAACATGTTTTCTGTTTTAGTTTTGAAAAACAAATAAAAGAAAAAGGAAAAAAGGAACCAAAAACATATTTTTTGTGTTTGTGTTTTAAAATTCAAAGATGTTTGGTTTCATGGTTGTTTTTCAAAAGACGGTGACAATTAGGCACCATGTATGGGAACGGGATCTGYTCCTCACATGCATATCCACCATGCATTGGGAACATCCACCATTTCTCAGAAGTCAAAAAAGAGGTGTCATCGCCACTAGGTATCCATAGGCCATCGCCACCAGTAATCACCTCCATCGTCACTTGTCATCACCCCATTCGCCACTGGTTATCACGATTGTCGCCTATTTTCATTTGAAGCCATGTTTTATTCCAATTTTTTCCTTCGTTTAAACCATGTTTAGTTTGAAGGAAAAGGTAGGGAAAGGAAGGAAATGGTAGGGAAACATATATAAAGTTTGTAAATATTTTTTTACCTTTCCTTTCCTTCCCCARCTTTTTCCTTCAAACCAAACGTAGCTTGCTTTAGGGCTCCGATTGTTGCCGGTTACTAGTTCGATCTTCTTGAAAAAAAATAGCTTGTCCAGACATCATGATCTGAGACGGAAAAGAGAAAAAGATAGCCACCGGTTTCGATGTGTGATGTATTTTTCATTTTTTATTCTCAATAAGTTTTTCTYCTCATGGCAATCATTTTGAAGCATTGGATAAGCATCTAATGGCACTTGTACAATGCTTCATTCCTATGATATCATGCTGTTAGGTGGAAAAACGATCATACAAAAACAAAAACAGTAATCAAAAAGCAAATGGTTAAATACTTAAATACCCCTATAGTTTATTATACGGATAAAAACTTACGGTACTGTTGGCATGTGATATCACATGATTTAATCCTTTTGCAATTGATTTTATCATTCATTATTCTTTAAATTTTCAAAACCTTAGATGAAATTAAGATTAGAAATCCCGGTGACACACAGAGCAAGATACCATTTCATTAATTCATTTTAACTTATTTACCTCTATGTAGCGTTGTCCTAGATGTTCTAGCATCATTTGTATTTGCATTGAAGAATCAGCATCCCATTTGTAAAATAGTAAGCCCGAGTTATGACTGGACGCTAATTAGACAAATGTGCTTCCTGTCTTTGGGTTGTCAGTTGTGTTAGAAAGAGTGTTCATGAATCAGAGACGCTACAGCTTTTCACTCTGGAAATGGCCACGTCGCCCATATACGGCTGATAATTGAAAGTTTGAAACTGTATGTGGTTCTGTGATTTGAGGGCAATGATACATAAACATGAAAGGACAAGTTGTTCTTTGGAGATAAAGAATTGATGGGCTTCATTTTCCCCGCAGCATTTCAAATTGGTGGGTGGTTCCTATCAACAATTTGCAGTGTTCTGGCAAGAAATAAACTGATGAATTGGACTAGTTGGCACTAAGAATTAGGGTTGGGTTCTTAAGGCTCAGTTTGGAAAGAGTACAAATACAAATATATACAGTACAGTTACATACAAAATGCAAGGTTTTGCACTCTACATATTTGTATTTATACTTCTTCCAAACTGAGCTTAAATTTCTTCCACTGGGTTTATTTTTATCAGGTTTTATTTTGAAAATTCAAGAAATAAGAGGGTAAATTTGACATTTTATTTTTTTAATGGCAATGTCCATTATCATAAAACCTATAGCATACCTTAGATAATTTTTAAGCAATAGAGTAAGCGCTTTTGTCCACTTTATAACAATGCATAGGGTAAGCCTAAGTATTTTACCCTATATGCAAAAAACATTGCTACCAATGCAAAGCTGGTAGCAACCTAAAAACCCAATAAAATGGATAAACGTTTGGCATGGCATGGGTGTTTTCTCAGAAAACCCCATCCAAGAAACGCCCACAGAAACAAACACCATCCAATTTATTTTCAAACCAGATTTTATGATTTATTTTACAAGAAAATTCAGGAAAAAGGCTGAGCAGGAATACATAAATAGATCGATGGTTAGGTGGTACATATAAACTGTATTGTACAGGTTCCTTCCTCTCTAGTATTAATATCTTCGTAGAGGCTAGGGGGGCATTTGATTTTACAGCTGAAGTGGCTAAATTGAAATACTTATTACTAAACCTTGGAGTAAGTTCCCTACCCTTCCTTTTTCCTGCCTTTTCTTTTAAACCAAACACAATCTTAATGAATAAAACAATCAAGAATATAGTAATATACAAAACGAGCCACCGGTGACCCAAACTAATGGGTCCAGGTTGGTCCAGTTTCAGATTGGACTGGGTTCAGCTTGGCCCAGTTTCTTCACTTCATTTTGCTGAAATATTCTTATTTCTTTGAATAAAAATTAGTGGATTCGGGTTCACTAAACATTATCATTTCTACAAGGACAAAGCTACTTAATTGCACCACACTACAAAACTTTTGCTTTGGGTCGGGTTAGCAGTTAGCCAAAGCCTTAACCCTAACCCAATCTGATGTTGAATTGTGATCATATTTTTAACCCTAGCCCGAACCGTAACTTCAACCTGACCAAATCCAACACAATTCTTTTATGGTAAGTTTAGCATATGTTTGGCATCGTTGCCGTTGTTCCAGAAACCGGCACCACATCAATGCCATGTCAGAAAAAACGATGCTCCAAGAAACAGACATTTGTTTAGAACTGTTTTTCTATAAAAAACAGTATTCCAAGCCACACCTTAAAAATCGGGAATGCATGGCAGTGATGTGACACTGAATAATGGGTACCAGTGCTGAAAACGTCTCCTGGAACATTAATACCAAACAGAAAAAATTGTTGTTGCTCCAGAAAACGTCCTACCTTACAGTAACCATCAACAGAAAACGATGCTTCTGTATCTGCAACATCAATGCCAAGCATATACTTATTAAACTTCTCCTGTGCTTTCTTTTTTTTTTTTTTTGGTAATAACTTCCCCTGTGTTTTCTGTAAATGCTTTAACCTCCCCTCAATTTTTTTGACCTTCCAAAATACGTCCCATGACATTTCAAGAAAAAATATACAAGTACACCCCTTCCATTAACTTGACGTTACGAGCCAAACAAAAATGATAGTGTCATGCTTTCAAACATTTGAAAATTCCTAATTTTCCCATGAATGAAAATATTGAAATGTTTATTAACTGAAATACCAAAAAGAACTGTTTTGCATATCCTCCTTTTGATTGAGAGCAATAGTTACTACTAGTTGATTAACAGGGTGAGTTGCATGCTTGCATTTAGGATCAACACCAGGACATAATGGAATGAACAAGAAGGTGAAGTTTCATGGAGAATTTAATTATTTCCATCATAATCCAAACCATCCCAAAATAAAGAACAGATCAATGAAAGCTCTGATCTGAAAAAGAGGTACAAAAAAATTGATAACTTGGTCTTAGTTAAAGCGAAAATAACATCAAAGTACTTGTTGCAATGTAGCATTACGTTCTCTGGAATCAGGAAACAGGATTCCATGAAACAAGAGTGTATAGCCCCAAATTGATCCTTGACATGGATGGGTCCCAAAAAATTATTGGAGAAGAGCGAACCTAATCTACATAAATCAGCACATTACAACAAATATCCTTGATGCTAAAATCTCAAAAGGAAGATTACCTATCTTAGGACAACCTAACTTTTATGAAGCCTTTGTTGATTCTTTAGGAAGGATACTGTCAGGAAGGATAAGCTGTGGAGGGACTTCACGGACAACACCAAGCATTGAATCATACTCCTCATCTCGGCGAGCAAATTTCTTACGAAGCACTTTTTCCAACTCAATCTCGTCAAAGGTCTTTGCATTCTCAGCTGCATGGGCCTGGGCTAAATTGGAATAATTGATAGCTGACTGAGAAATAAATGCTATCTCTTCTTCCGTAAGCTTCCTCAGAAACTTTGCTGGATTACCTCCCCATATCTATGAGTTACAAATAAGACATACGTAAGGGTTTATGTACAAGTAAACAAACATCCAATTACTCTTTTTTCATCCAGTACAAGGAAAACATCCAACAATTTGTTAATGAAATCCAAACAGGGTTCTTTTTTTTTTTTTTGATCGATAACAGAAATCTTTATTAATGAATAATACTTGTGAAAATTAATTACAGAAAAAGGGGAGGTAAACTATCTTAACTCCCCAACATCAAAATGGCAACAAAATACTAAAAATGTGACCAAAACAAAGAATCCTTAGCCACCCCTTGCTTAGCTAACCCATCAGCCATTGAGTTAGTACTTCTCTTCACCCAGCTGTATTGCACCTCTAAGTCCTTACACAGCCAAAGAGTCCCCCTCAATCACTAAGCATTTAATGCTTAATTCTCTTGTTCTTTGGATTCCTTCAAGAACTGCTAGAATTTCGGCTCTAAGAGAGTCACCCTCTCCAATTGGCCCAGAGAACATGGCAGTAATATACCCCTCCTCATTCCTGAAAACACCCCCTATCCCAGAGGGCCCTGGATTCCTTAAACTACATCCATCAAAATTCAGTTTTATGAATCCRGCRGGAGGGGGGGGTCCAAGTGGGACTACAGTTCCTTTTATACATAACAGTAGTAGCAACCTCTTTCCACTTTCTCATCATGTCTGCCATAGAGAATTCAGAGAATATCTCCATTGATTTCAGCCAATGAGCAACCCTTGAAAGTATCAAATCTGTTAGGTTTTCTATGGTTCTTTCCTTATCCGAAAAAATTCGTGAATTTCTTTCTTCCCATATTGACCAGCACACTGCAGCCCTGATGCTTCTCCACATAATCTTCCCCTTTCTCTTAGGCCAACTAAAGAAAGAAGGAGAGAATAAGCATTGCACACTCCCGGGGAGATTCCAAGTATACCAAAGAGGGAAAACGCCCACTCCCAAACAGTCTTAGTAACTGGACAAGTAACCATAATATGATAACCCATTTCCCCATCAGCTTTGCAAAGAATAAACCTATTGGGAAGTAAACAGCAGTTGGGCCTCTTTCTTTGAAGCAAGTCATTTGTGTTAACTCTTTCCAGGACAATTTCCCAACAAAAACTACCAACCCGAGGAGGAATGGGTTTGCTCCAAATCTCTTTAACCGGGAATGACAGCCCAAGCGGTGTAGTAGGTTGGGCTAATGTCTCAAAAATCGAAGCACAAGAGAAAGAGCAGGATGAAGAAGGGGTCCAGATTCTGGTGTCTCCCTTACTAGGGTTCAAGAAAACATTTTCAATGATGGTTAGCAAAGATGACATACACCCCAAATCTGTATCCCTTATTGCCCTTCTCAACCCCAGATTCCACCCAAACCCAGAAGAAGAATCAGAAGGAACCAAGAAGAGGAAATAGGTTCATTTTTCAAATCTGACAAAGCAAACAATGATGGAAATTGGTCTTTCAGGGGTAGGTCCCCAACCCAAATTTGCTCCCAGAATTTTATTTGATTACTGGAGTTCAGATCGTACCTGATCCAAGGGGAGAAAACTGGAAGCAGATCATGAATGGCTTTCCACGAGGATGCGGCAGTAGTCCTTGCTAAAATTCCAGGATCATCCCAGTCATTCTCATCCAGCCCATGTATGCTAGCCACAATCAAACAGGGTTCATTTTTGCGAAAGACAAACAAGTTTGCTCAGTGTGAAAGATAGGAAGTGCCACCCTTTTAGGATCGAGTTGTACAAACTAGATGGATTTCCTTCAAGAAGAGCTCTTGTGATTGGAAGATTTCAAGTCTTGTTTTGTTTTATATTCTAGTACTAGTACACAAAAAAAATAATGATAAGCAGTCTACTATTTAGAGTGGGAAGAAGTTCAATTTCACCTTTCAATACATCCAAAAATTATGTCTAATATTATGCCTACCAGTGCGCCTCATGTGTACTCTGCCCCTAACTATGCAGTGGCAGTAACTACAACTTCAATCTTTATATTCTTCTACAGAGAAAATATTACAAGCAGTATATAGATGAAGTTTTCCTTGGGGGAGCAATTATCCCCTCATCCTGTGACTGCTAATTGCCTGTGAGAAGTACAGCTTCACCTTAAAATATCTTTTCTGATCCATAACAACCTGATTTCTATTGATTTAAGATTACAAAACAAGTGCAGTTATACAACTATGCCTAGCACCTCTCTTCCGTAGGCTAGCTATCCACCCTCCCATACTTGATATTCTGATTTACAACCTGTCTCTTCGCAAGACCCTCAATACAACTAGTCATTATTAATAGAGTTGCAACTTGGGCAGGCTCAGGTAGAGAATTTGCTAAAATTTGAATGGGCTTGACCTAAGGACCTGGGCCCAATGCTGTGTAAATTCTTCAAGTTGGGTACCAATTACCAAACTTGCAACCCTACCTATCAACCCCTTGTCTAGCCAATGCATAGGCTAGGCTATTTGCTGATTTTATAATCCAGTTGAATATCGGTTTTATCTCCCTAGTCAAGTGTTTCACCTCTCTGATGATGTGTCTTTACTTCAAGGAGACCTCCTTCTTGTTTTAATCCATCCCACCGCCACCTCCGAGTCTCCCAGACCCTGTAAAGCTGCTATCAGAGCCCTTGTTGATTCACCATGTCCCATGAGCCTGCAATAAGTAGCTTGGACATAGCCAAGACAATCTCTAAATACACTACCAATTCCTGAGTTCCCAGAATTTCCTAAGTTGCATTCATCAAAATTTAATTTGATAAAACCATTTTTCAAGTGTAGACCATTCTGATCTCACAAGGTTCCAAGACAAAGAGGAGTTTGCAGCAATATTCTAGCCTCTAATTATGCCTCAGTAGAGAAAGATGCAAAAGCCACCATAGTCCCAGTTTTCCACTTTCAAGCTTCAACCATTCCTCTTAATCAAACTTAGACAGATAGTTGATTTGGAAATTGGAATCCATAAATATTCTTCTTAATAAACCTCCAAAACTGTTCATTTGAAATTCAACATGTGAGAACAATTTCAAACAACAAAACTTCAAGCTAGAAAATCAGTTTCAAGCATCGACCAGAAGAGTTGAAAAATAACTGCCAGCCTTGCCGAGGCAGTTTTTAAATACATTACAAGAATAACTCAAATACTTGGTAGCACAAATTTGTTCTAACGTATAGAAGTTCAATATAGAAATTTAGTTTCATAGAACTAAAGAAAATCTGCAAAGGCATAAAATAATCATATTGTCAATCAGCAGAAGTAGAAGCATCAGGATGTCCTTGACAAGAAAAAGTGTTCATGAACAAACCTCTCCACATGGAATCCTGGTATTCTGCCTCACAAGGGCTCCAGCAGCGACCATAGCATGTTTTTCAACTACCACACCATCAAGCAGAGTTGCTCCCATACCAACAAATGCCTCATCCTCAACAGTACAGCCATGAAGGACAGCACTGTGACCTGCCCGGTACAGATTTTATATCATAATATTCATAATGCAAAAAATTGTGATAAAATTGATAGAAGAAAAAATTTACATGCTGACATATCATTTAAAAATTGATAGAATGCCACCTACCTACAGTAACATTGTCTCCAATAATAGTTGGTAAGACTTTCCCACTTAGATTAGATTTTGCAACATGCACAAGGGAGTTGTCTTGTATATTAGTTCCTGACCCGACACTGATGCTGTTCACATCTCCTATGCAAGGAAATAATTTTATGACAAAGATTAGCAACAAAATGAATATACAGATTTATGTATGTAAACATGAACATGTATGTATACTTGTGTATTTGTGTGTGTGTGTGTATAACTTGAATTGCATAATGATTTCTCTATCCTTCTTACCATAAAGCCTTTGATCATCCTATTTCTAACTGCTTTTTATTAATACCAAGCAGGATTAAGACAAGGAGACTCACTTATAAACCTTTCTATTCATCCTTATCAGAGATGGTCACTAAATCATCTCACCCATTACTCTATATTGTTCAACTTTTGATCTATAACCTAGCTCTTCTGTGGCCTGTGGGGTGCTAATTCTGCTAGGATTACTGAAATAGCGTAAAAAATTTATGTCAGGTTTGATCATTGAGTTATGAGAAAATACTTAGTAATGAATACAAGGTAATATAACATTAGGTAAAAATGCATCTCTAATAAAATACAAAAGTTTTATTTACATGTTCATCCTCTATGTCAGACAAGCTTTAGTGATGTAAAGCCTTCTAACATGTATTATATGATTTTCTGAAAAGTTACATGTACTATAAGGTTCCAAAGTTGGGAGCTTGCAATGCTTCACTTATTATAATCCACCATTAGAGAAAATGTTAAAAAAAAAAAAAGGAATTAAAAGAGAGTAATGTACATGGAACGAAATGTTTGTTTATTATGTAACTTACCTCTCAAAACACAGCCATACCAAATTGAGGACCCTCGCCCCACCTGAACATCCCCAATGATGGATGCACTTGGAGCCACAAATGTGTCTTTATCAACAACAGGAGCTTTATCAAAAATGTTCATAAGCGTTCGATGTCTAGACACTATAATAACATGAAGATTGGTAATTGTTAGGTATACTCAAACGGAGTTCCATAACAAACATGTAACCTAAATTAGGCAACTATCGTACTATTGAAGAACATATGCATGACATTATCATTTACATCTGAACGGATTGGCGAAACAGGATTCATGTAGCCAACCCATATAGTTGGGATAAGGCATGGACGATGATGGTGATGATGATTGTTTACATGTAGAACAGAACTGAATGTATATGGTATTAAATAATGATAGTCAACCACAGACAGAAAATATATCTACGCTGTAAGCCTGTAACATAAAAGTAGCATATCTGTGTGTATTTTAATGTATATATTTTAAATAAGAAACAATTCAAGACATAGGACACATTTTAATGGGGAAAAAATAAGTATATTTTAGAGAAATGAAAATATGGATTGGATCTCAAGGTGCAATCAAACTAGGGAAAATTGCAAAGTGACTTCAGCCAATATAAACAAGTAATGCCATTTCAGTTGTTCAGGTGATGACTTTGCCCATTCACAGGAATCTTGAAGAGAACCACCAAAAAAGAAGTCACCAGAGTGAGGCAGAAAAGGTCAAAAAGAAAAATACACGCCACCATCACATAGGAAATATGGGAGGAAAGGAATCAAAAAGTACTAGAAAACATAGTTGTCAAGGCGACTAGGCACTTTACAAGGAGCGCCTCACCCAAACACCAAGAAAAAATGTATTAGGTGCATGCTGTGGGGACTGAAACACATATATAGTATACAATATTTTATTAAATAAAAATAAATATATAATATATAATATTTTATTGGTTGGTTTTAGTTTTTATATGAAGCTGTGGGGACTGAAACTCATGTTTTTGTTATGAGGAAAGTAAAAACAAAATAATCTCAAGGGTTTCATTCACTTTGACAAAAGAATCGAATGAGGAAGAATAGAGAATAGCCCTCAATCGTTCCGACACAATCCTCTAAGTCAAGGTGGGTTAATCAGTTTACTCCTTCGTTTTGTTCTCTTTTTCCACTGGTTTAAAACAGTGGTTACGCCCTATTGTTCTCCTCTTCCTTGTTGGACTAAAACCATTCTTCTTTCCTGGTTTGAATCATATCATTGGACTAAAACAGGGGCTCCGTCCCCTTCTTTTGTTCTGCAATTTCATGTGTGTTTTCAGCTCCTTTTCCCTCATTATTGGTGTCTGAAATTCTTCATAGTCTTCTTTTATTTTAGTATTTTTTTCACCAGCTATTCTGGGTCTAGAACAGGGGCTCCACCCCCTTCTTTTGTTCTTAGCTTCTTGCATTTTTCAGCCCTTTTTTGTTCTCATCATTGGTGTCTGAAACAGGGGCAGAGCCCCTTATATTCTTCTTCGTATTGTTTTCTTTTATTTTAATATTTTTTCACCTTCTTTTTCTGGGTCTAGAACAGGGGCTCCGCCCCTTACTTTTCTTCTTCATTTTCTTCTTTTACTTTAGTAATTGTTCTCATTAAGCAACACTGCATGAAATACAAGCACAAAAGTAAGTGCAGAATACATAAAACTAAAAAAACTAGTACAGAAGGGGTAGAAATCCATCAGCTTCTTATTTTTAAATTCCATCGCCTAGGTGAGGGCTAGGCGCCTGGGCGCCCCATGGTCGCCTAGCCTCGCCTTGGCACCTTGAAAACTATGCTAGAAAATAAACCCCCTCTTTTCAAGGCCTTGTGAGGTAGAGTCCTCTGCGTGGCAGGATTTTGCACTCCAGCAAGTCACTTCATGTAACAGCAGATGCAGAAATTTCCTTGCATATCTCCAATCATCACTGCTCCCACCAACACATTCATGAAGAGGTTAATCCAAGAGCAGCCTTTTTCCCAAGATATCAGATTTCATTTTGACAGAATATGAGAATATCACATGGAACCCTCTGGGCCTCCAGAACTGATGAATATATCTCAAACAGGAAAGGGCAGGTGGTATGGGTTATAGATGCTCCATGGGTGAAGTCAATGCCACTGAAGCATAAGTGACTGCTATCCTTGTAGGCCGAATAGGTACCACGTCTCTGAGTCTACCCTCAATTATAGGGGAAGGAGATCCAAGATCCTTCAAATGCCATCTGATGGATAAAGGGTTTGGAAGGGGGCCTTGGTGGCTATAGTATAAAACCTCCCTACTCCAAAGTTAAATGGAAGGACCAGAAACAAAATATTTTCTGCAATATCAAACCACTTGCAGGGCTGACCAATACATTTCAGCTAAGTACAATATTTGCACTGGTAAACCCATTCCCCAATACCAAGAAGCTCTAACAACCCCATTTGTTAATCTTGGGATCTACCTGAACTAGATGACCATATTGGATGCCAATAATCTCGCCTCTCTTATGTGATATCGTATTTCCAAAGGAGCTTATAATGTAGAGCCCACCCAGCATAATGAGAACTAATGAATCTGCATTGACCTCTGTGCCTTCCATGCCTAGGGAGTAACTATCCTTAAACCATGCAATAAAGATAGAATTTTTGTCCTTATTGTTGTTGCTTCTCCAATGGAACCAGAATATGCTGCTATCACCTCTACAATCATGACATTTGGAGTAATGCCCCCAAGCATCAAAATAGCAAATAAAAGATAACTTCATATCCGAGATACACAAACTGGATAATGAGACACCATGACCAAGGAATGTGAGGTGATATGCTGCAAAGTTCCCCAATACCAAGAAATGCTGAGATTGTGTCTTGTACAAACTTCCTAGCATTCTTCAATGAGGTTAATGATGTTGCATTTCATCCAACCAGGAAGACAATTGATGATAATACTTGAGTCTCCTTTAGTGATGATTTTACACTGAGGAAATCCAGCAGCTGCAACATGGACCTTGAGGACAGCCCATGCTTCGGCCAGTGTTTTAAAAGTGCAAGGGCACAAAAAAGGCGCAAGGGCCAAATTTCGCCTAAGGCAAGAGGCACAAGGCGAGGTGCGTGCCTTTTTGAAGCAAGGCGCAAAAATACAAAAAAAAATGTTAGAAAATTCAAAAAAAAAGCCAAAAAAATCAAAAATAAATAAAAAAAAATAGTATACATAATATTAATAAGAAATATAAACTTAAATTTTAAAATTAATGGTTTAAAAAACCTATTTTCTAAAATTAAAATACATAAACATAACATGTAAAGCATATTCAAATGAAAATTTAAAAATAAAATCAAACATATAAAACATTTTCAAGCATGTAAAGCCCACAATCTCTTTTTTCCTCAATTGCATTACTTCAAGTAGCTAATGTGATGTAAAACATATTCGCTCACTCACCAAAGCTCCAAGAACCCCCTATTTGCTAATGTTGTTCATTCATTCATCTTAATAAAACATCTTCTTAAAAGGCAATTAAAATTATAAAATCATTATTTTTTGTGTGAGAATTAAGAATTTAAGGCCCAAACATGGACTTGTTTGGGCTTGCCTCAAGGGGCGTGGTCGGGGGTCCGGGGATAAAGCTCCTGCCCAGCCGCTAGGTTCGAAAAAGTATAAAAACATACAATTTTCAAAAGGCACAGGCCTAGGCCAAGGTGCAAGGCGCATCAAGTGCACGCCTAGGCACACCAGGCATGAGCCTTTTGAAAGTGTTGTGCCTAGGACCTGGGCCATGTACCTACCCTAAAATGTGCCTCGCCTATGCGCCTCAAGCACGCCTTTTAAATCACTAGCTTCGGCTTTGTTAGGCGTGCAAACTCCAACATCTCGACAACTAATCCAAACCGTTTTCCCCAATTCATCTCTCATAATGACCCCAATCGCACACTTACCATCTTGGCTTTTAGATGCATCAACGTTAACTTTGAAACAATCTCGGTCCAGCAGTTTCCATCGAACTAAGATGTCTTGATTCTCCTTCCATGGGGGAGTGAGGTTTTTTAATTCCAATTCAACATTCATTTTTATCCTCTCCAAGAGGAGATGATTGGGCGACTGGGCGTGTATTTATTTTGGAAGAGTTTAACATTTCTCTTCTTCCATATGTTCCATAAGGCCATGCATCTGATTTCAGGATTCCACAGATTATTTACCTTAGATTTAATTACTTTATCCCACCAATCCTTTATGGACTCACCCATACTAGGTTTTATATCATTGATATTTAATCCCTTCCAGATTTGTTTCACCTCCTCACAGTGTAACAACATATGATTAATATCCTCCTCTCCACAGTGTGGGCAGCATGAATCATCACCCAAACCCCAGCTTCTAAGTCTCGCTTTCGTGAGTACCTTGCCTTTTATTACTAGGTACATGAAAAACTGGATCTTTGGAGAACACCTAGGATCCTATACTTTCCTTAGGTTTAACTCCATAACTCCAACATTTGAGTTCTTCTCAATCATTTTGTATGCTGATTTAATTGAGAACTGGCCTTTACCATCTGGTTTCCATATCGTGGTATCACTTTTGTCAACTGACGGAATTGGAATAGACCTTATCCTGTCCCATATTTCTGAAGAAACTTTTTGAAGACTTTTCTCTTTATCCCACGCTCTTGAGATTGTTATGAACTCGCTAACCATTAGATTATCCTCTAGATGGCTGCTGTCTGTAATTGTTTTTAAGGAGGATTCTCCTACCCATATGTCATTCCAGAAAAGAATATTCCTACCATTCCCTACTAATCAACCTACCCCTTTTTCCAGAATCTCTCTATGTTCAAGGATCCCCCTCCACGCCCAAGAGATTTTTTGGCTTTAACATCCCAAAGGTTCAGGTTTCCAAGATATTTATTCTTAACCACCTGGACCCAGAGGTTATTTGGTTGGGTCAATATTTTCCATCCCAGCTTCACTAAACTTACTCCATTAACCCACTTAAGGTTTTTTAGGCCCCAACCACCTTCATTTTTAGGTTTACAGATTGTATCCCATTTAACCAGATTTATTGATTTTTTATCTTTTTTCCTCCATAAAAAATACCATCATTTCTTTCCCACTTCCTCTACTGTTGATCTTGGGAATTTGAATATTTTCATAATGTATTGAGGCATCATGTTTATAGATGCCTTAATTAGAGTGACTCTTCTTGCTAAAGAAAGAGTGCTTCTCTTCCATCCGGCAAGTTTATTATCAACATTTTCCTCTATCTTTTTAAAAGTTTTCTGTGTCATTCTACCCTCAATAATTGGGGCCCCCAAATATTTCTCCTCTTATAGCCAATGTCCCATATTTCCCTAGAGAATAACCATCAAAAGTATGCTTCACCTGATCATGAGGTGGGGGAGCTGATTCCCTTTGTGACATACGACATGTGCCTTGGGTGGACAAAAGATGCTACTGCATACCACCTTCTTATTGATAAAACCTCTTTTACTGCTACCATTCAGGGAATCCACAATCGTGCAAGAAAAAATACTCAAAACGGCATCCTTAGAAGCAAGTATGCATCCAAATGAAGTATATGGTTCTCATTTGAAATTAAGAAGTGTTTAACGATACATTTACCCTAGCCTATCTATACATAATATTATGAATTAAATTGTATTTTATACTTTCTGAGAAAGAAATTAAGAAAAAAGTTCCAATCAAAAAAAAAGTAAACACTTTTTAACTAGAGGAATCAACAGGCAGGACCCAGCCGCATGTACCACACTCTTCAGACACCAAATGATCAAATATTTCTTTTCCTTTCATAAAATATAACCAATCTAAGCTAGATATTTAACTGAATGTTTTTAAATCATAGGCCTAAATCAAACTCCTAAACAACAGGAATCTACACTGATCAGAATTGGATAACTTGAAATGCAAACCTAATTTCCTTCCATAACATCAGAGAACATTCCAGAACCCCAACCCCTATTTGATTAAGATGGAAAAAACAATTCAACAAACGAAATAGTTGGAAACTTAAAGAATTACCATTACAAAATGTTAGATTTTTGCAATCGGAAATCTGTGGAGTGGAAAGGATGAGTACATAAATACGGATTTAAAGGATTAGTAAGTTAGCAAAATGAGATCTATGGCTCGCCAGAAGATGGTCTTACGTTGTTCCTGGAAGTAATAGTTGCCTTGCAGGCGGCAGCCGAGACGATCAAGGGCTTGACCAGTCTCTCGAATCCAGAATCCAACAGTGTAGATCGCCTTTCCTAATGTACCCATCCTCTTCTAGTCAGAAGATTTCCTCGCTTCTCGTTTCCTGATTGTGGGAAATGAGACGAGATGGGTTTCTTTCAGCTGTGAGAGTAGAGCATACAGGGGAGAACGGGGAGAAAAGGGAGAGTGGTAAGTGATAACTGGCGAGCAACAGGAAAGAATTAGAGAGAGGGCAGAAGTAGGGGTCCAACATGCGCGGGTCCAACCTCAGCTTTACACGGGATGGGCTTGAATTTTCGTCCTAGCCCTTAGTAGCGTAAACCCAGCCCAAGCCCAGTCCAATTATAAACATACACATGATACGTATATAGATATATATTTGCATACATAACACATATATATATACATGTATAATTTTAGTATGTGTTTATTAATCAATCCAATCCCATCATGTGTCCAAGCCCAACTCAAGTGCATCAAATTATAATGCGGACTGGGTTTTGGTTAGAAAGGTCAAGCTTGACTTCAGGCTTGATCCAATCTCAGGCCTTAAGCCCAAATCTTAGGGTTGGGTCTAGGTTGACCATAAACCCCGCCTAACCCGCCCGACTTGCACCCCTAGAGAGAAGCACCTGAAGGCCAAGTAGTGGCAAAAAATGAAGTGCCTCTTTTCTAGTTATATTACCAAAATGATCCCTTCTTCTTTGTAATTTTACAAAAGACCCTATTTCTTGGAGCTGTTAAGTAGTAACTAGGAATGTAAGCGAGTCGAGCCAACTCACAAGCTACTTAAGCTCGGCTCACTAAATATTTGAACTTGGCTTGAAGACAATCGAGTCAAGTTGAGCTTGAAGTCAAGTAGTTAGTCAAGCCAAGTTCAAGTCCAATTCAAGTAACTCGTGAGCTTAATCGAACTTCTAATAAATTATTATATTTCAATATTTTTTTATTTATAATGTAAATAAATATTAATTTTTATGTTGATTAATTTATGATATAAATAAATAAATTTATAGTCAAGTTCATAATATATATTTTTATTTATAATATTAATTTATTTATAATTTTTAATATATAATAAAATTTTCTAATATATTTTTTATTTATAATATTTTAAATATTAATTTGTTTGTATTTTAATAGGGATTTATTTATAATAGGCTCGAGCCAAGTCGAGCTCAAGTAGCTCATAAGTATCAACTCCATTAACTTAAGTAAAGTTCAAGTATGAAACTCAAAACTCGATTGAGCTCAAGTCAAGGTTCAAGCTCCAAGTTTTTGAGTCAAGTTTGAGCTCAAGCCACCCAAAACTCAACTCTACTCAGCTCAATTAGACCCCTAGTTGTAACTCACCATCATGTTGTTAAAAATAGGTGAGACCCGAGAGTAGCCCGAACCAAGAAACAAAGCATCTTTAGGCCTAAACCAAGCTCCGAGTTGAGCTTAAGGCCTCTAGCACAATATAAAGGCTAAATTTTCTAATTGAATCTAGCTTGAGATTAATGAAGCTCAGCTCGTTAAATTTGCAAGCCTAATCAAGCTTATATTATATATAATAATTTTATTTTTATATGTATAATAATAAATAATTTATGTATGTATAATAAGAAATCATTTTTATATGAAGCTTGGCCCATTGTCAAGTTCAAGCATATGATCTTTTAGGTTGAGTCAACTTGAGCTCGAATTTAACTCAAGCCTCTTATTTTTCTACCAAGCTGAACTTAAAAAGCCAGATATTCAACTCGACTAGGCTCAAATCCACCCCTACTTGGAGCATAGGCTTGCATTGAAAAAAAAGAAAAACAACCAAAATTAGGTTGTGCCTAGGAGTGCTTATTGGCTTAAATGGTTTTATGAAAAAAAAAACATTTTTTAAAATATGATTTTTGAAAAAAAAAAATGCTCTTTTAGTGTTTGGAAAGTCACCAACCTTTTTGCTCAAAATAGCTTCTTGCAAACCTAAAACCCCTATCCAATTTGGTATATCCCTATCTAATTTAATTTAGATGAATATGATCATACATACTTAGTTTTTATTATTTTGTTTATTAGTAAAATTGGTTTAAATGTTGTGCTTTTACTACCATTCAACCAGGTTATTCTATTTCACGTTTCACCACTTAGAAAAATAACTTTTTTTTTGTGTGTTGGTGCCTTGAATTTGAATTACAATTGTGATTCATTTTATAATTCAACTAAAACAAAGTTTGAGGTGGAGGACACCTAAAGGAAAATTTTCATGGTGGAGGTGGAGGAATGGTAAGGCAACAACAATTGAATTAGTTGATTGCAAGCAAGTACTCATCACAAGTATCTAAAATGTAGGGCTGTTCATAAGAATGCCCAATCCGACCAAATTGACCAACCCGGATCGACCCAACCCGAGTCAGCCATTTATTTACTACAATATTACCATTTATTTAAATTAACCTACAAATAAATAATTTACTATAATGTACATAATCTTGCTTTATTTTATAAATTACCAACAGATTAAAAAAAAATCATTTGTTGACATCAATTGTTGATAGATCAATAGATTTGATATATCATACATAGATTCATCTTATAGTTTTTTTTTTTTCTACCGTCAAAACCATTTAAAATAACAGTTAATATGGCTTTAAATAGAACAGATTGGTAAAACTGGACTCATGTAGCTGAACTCATATAATTGAGATAAGGCACAGAAGATGATGACCAATTTTTTGGGGAAAATTCATGGATCTACTAACACAGGCAAATTAAAACATCACATATACAATAATGAATCAATATATCCTTCTGTTGTTGTTGCTGCTAAAGCTCCTTCTAAATTTTTAATTCTAATGAATTTTCTTCCTTCTTAATGTGTGAGATCCCAAGTGTATTTGCAAATAGAAAGTATCTCACATGCATAGAAAATGAAGATGGAAAGCTTGGAACTAAGATATGCTAGAAAAGTGAATCCAACAAACATAAATGATAAATCACTCCACTAGCATGTGGCCAATATTGATTTATATATATTGATGTGGGTTTGGATGCAACACAACCCCATTCCACTTGTGCCACATCCTATGTTAGCCTCCATGTAAACCAATATGATATGCCCCATGTGAGGCATATTGTATCAATATTTAAAACCTTGGATGATTCTTTGAAACCCCCTACAACACATCAGAACTCTCGATTTATATTGCTGAAGCCTCCTCTCCATTTGTTCATCCAATCATCCCTCTGGTGGTTTCCCATGTAGTAGATAGCTCCTTGAACCTGGAACTAGAAGATGACTTATGGTTAGTTCATCATCATTCCTATTGGTATTGGTAGGAATGATGTAAAATCTATTATATTGAACCAGTTAACCAACTTAGTTGAAATAATAGAATTGCTTGTGTGACTTTTGGACAAAAAAAAAACAAAAATTGGTAAGTAATTTCTTATTTGGGTTGAATAGGGACTTTCTTTAGAGTGCCGAAAATAGATCAAATTGCAAATTGGTTCAAATTAGGATTTAATCTTTCTAGGCTAGATTTGAATACATGGAAAGCTTTAGAAAATGGAATTCTAATTACAAAATGAGATTGGACCATTCAAGAGATACATGCTATTTGCACTCTTCCCAAAAGAACATTTCTATATCCTCTCCAATACTAAACATTTAAATGTTTTTAAAAGGAAATGTGTTGAACTATCCTTTTCGAGAACCCAAAATCCCTAAAAATTCTTTCAACAATCCACGACTAGGGGTGATCATTTCTAATAACAGTTCTAACAATCTTCCTCCACATTTCTTATTGATTATTAGGGATGCAACTTGGGCAGGCCCAATCCAAGCTTAGACCAACCCAACCCACAATTTTACATGGGTTGGCCTTAGATTTTGGTCAGGTTGGGTCTAGGCCCAAAGGTTTGTTTGTTTGTTTGTTTTTTGTTTTGTATGTTCCCTTAAGTAGTCCAAGACCAGCCCAACTTATCCCAACCCAAGCTCGCCCTAGCTATGTATTTACATATGTTCATTTTTCTTAAAGACATACATATGTGCATATATAAACACATATTTAAAAGCATATACAATGACCAATTTATCCAAAAAAGTAACTATTGAAGGGACAATATTGTCCCATCATGTATTAGTGATTTTCAGCATGCATGGGTAAGTAATTTAAACAAATCTAAGGAGAGTATTACTTCCCCAAGTAAACGAGTTGATCATGAATCATTCTTTTTCATGAGACCCACTAATACCGAAAAACGAATACAAGTTTATTTCTTTTCTATGGGACTTACCAACTTACTCGTCCTTACTTCCCAAAAAATAAACAAAGCCTTATATCAAATTTTACTATGGGCTAATTGACCAACCCAAACACAACTCGAACCTGGTCCCAACTCAAGTGCATCAAATTTCAATACAGGTTAGGCCCAGGTTAGACAGTTTTGACTTGACCTTAGACTTGGGTTGAGATTGGGCCTTAGGACCAATTCTTAGGGTTGGACTTGGGTTGTAATTAAACCCAACCCAACCCACTCGACATGCACGCCCCTAGGGATTATGTTGTTCAAAAAATCTTTTAAGACACAAGCCGTTAATGCAAGCTCTTGTGGAGCTTTCTGCCACAGTAGAGATCAACATTTAGCTAATCAAATCTTTAAATTCGTTATTTTAAGTAGCTTTCAAGTTTCAACTGAAGTATATTAAGTATTGACCATTAAACTAACAATGCCTTTGTTGGAGATTATAAACCGAAATTCAGACTATTTAGCCTTTCTACCATGGTTTAAAACCATCGTTGACCCAAGAAGTCAAACCGCTCAGCCTACAAATTGGTTTCCTATCTAGTTTTGTTTTCCTCTTAGCCCATTCTTTTGCAAAAAAAAAAAAAACAAACATTGAACTGCTCAACAATTTGGCGACTAAACTATTCAACCCAAACAATGGTTTGTGTGGTTTAATAAAATTTATTTAAATTTTTTCAAACAATTAAAATAACCAAAAAAGAGGGAGAAGCTAATAGAGAGACAAAGAGAGAGATCAGAGAGGGATCTAAGATCTCTCAGGTCTATCATCCATAATCTCTAAGAGGAAGAGAAATGAGATGTGAGAGATCTCAGATCTTTTAGATGTGTGTGTGTGAGAGAGAGAGAGATCATAGATCTCCACCATTGCCATTGTAGGTAACCATCACTGTTGTTGTTGCTACTGCAAGTCACCATTGCCACTACCTATTCTT